CTTACAATATTTCTACTTATATATAGATAAAAATACCAAATAAGTATAAAATTTCTTTTCGTACACTTGGAGGCATACGTCATCTGCAAATATTTTGGTAGTTTCTACCTAAACTTAGTTAAATCAACGTCGAATTAACGTTATACTGACGTCAAATTTCCCTAGAGAGGTATTACTAACCAAACGTACTGGGCTACTACAATGTGGATTTAGATGTAATTCTACCTATTTTGGTAAATAAAACCAAATTTCGACGTCGTCTTATTCTCCACTTATGTCGAATCCACGTCGAGCCAACGTAAATTTTACTTAATTATGGTTAAATCTAATTTTGCGACCAAATTTATTATATATAATTTAGGTAGTATCGACGTCAAATTACACCAAAATGTTTGCTGGGCGGTATACAAAAAAGTCCTCATTCTTCTACTAAACTTCTAAAAAAAAGTCCTCATTTATTTTTGTATAAACCATGTCCCTTATATGCTGTAAAAAATACATTTACGTTAAAAAAAGGGCATTTTAAGCTTTCAAAAGTCACAAGGACATTTTGCTTCAAAAAAGGACAGGTGGCAACCCTAACCTAGATCTTAAATATTCGTTTTTTAATAATTTAAAAGTAACTAAATTATTTTTTGTGCTGGTTAATATACATAATTCATTATATAATTCACTTGACATAAGCCTGATGGCTCAGTTCGTTGAGTATTAACCTTCATCAACTTTGGATTTCGCGACGCTGGTTCAATTCCCGATAGAAGCAATATTTTTCTTTTATTTGGAAAAATATGAAAATGGAAAAAATAAAATTGTTATACATTTTTTAAATGCATTTTATTTAGAATAATATAACCCTACAATTAGGCAGTTGCTTAATCTCTCAGCAGTTATTTTGTACTATTTTGATTATTGTTAAAAAAAATATATAAAAAGATAATCCATCTTATTATCCGTTATATTAAAAATAAAATACACTAATGAAAGATATTATTGTATTCTAATATTATCTAATGTTATTTTACCTTTACCCTATGAGTGTTTGTAAATGGAACCACAATGTTTTTAATTTCGACATCCATAAAATACTTTAACATTATTCAATAAGGCATATAAAAACAAATCTAAAACCAGTTAAATTGATTGAACCTCTATAGCCATATTTTTCCTGGTCTTATACGTTTTTTTTTATGAAATTATTTTGTGATCGTAAGGAAAATATTGTAAAGCACTTGTGTAAAAGTAATTTTTCACCCTTAGGGTCGATCTTTTCACCTCTGAGTAAAGTTACATGTAGGTTTACTTGACAGATTAACAAACAATAGCCCTATAGTTTTATCAGCAAGTAGTTACTGTCAATTTTACTCAGAGGTGAAAAGACTGGCCCTTAATATACTTTATTTGCGATAATATCAATAATCTGAAATGGATAGTATGTATTTTTTTAAGAGTAACAGTGACTCACCTTGTTCTTTTTTTATACAGCCATTGGTTTATCATGATGTAAAAAATTATATAAATAATTTAAAAAATCTGATGTCACAACACATGATTTTCCTGTCTAGTTATTAGGCTTTTTCCAGTTATTTTGTACAACATATTGTATTACCCCTGTAAATGTTTAAAGAATGAACTAAATACATACCTTTTTCACACATATCTTACTCAAAATATTTTTTATACACAGGGTGTTTCAAAAAGGTATGTCATAAATTGTTCCTTAGATATATTACCAAAAAAATAAGCGGATTTGGCTTTATTCAGTCAGGAGTTATTGTACAAAAAAGACATATAAAACTCAGTAGTGTGTCTAGGGACATGCTTGAGCAGCCACTGCAAAAACTACCTCTTTTATTTATATTTTTGTATTCAAGAAGGAGGAGGACATGTTGAACATTTACTAAATATAGTTTATAAAATATGTATAATAATTATTGTCAAGTGTTTTTTTTTAAATGTTAACTTTTAGTTAATTGTCTAATTAAAAAAATAATTTTTTTAATTACTATTAAATTTAATAAATACATTTCCAAACTAACGTGTATTTTTATCAGTGGCATTATGAGCCCATGAGGGCGGGTGGCACACCATTTTTATGGCGCCAATCCAATATTATAAATACTTACCTTTTTTTACAAAAATATAAATAAAAGAAGTGGTTTTTGCAGGGGCGCCTCAAGCACAGCCCTAGGCACACCATTGATTATTATATGCGTTTTTTGTACAATAACTCCTGACCTACTCTTAGTTTTATTGATATGTTAAGTCCAGGGCGGACGAATTGCTCTAGAAATTCAGTTAAAAAATTGTAAATAGCTCGTTAACTAAGAAAGATACAAAGTTCATTTCACTATATAAAAAATTTAAAAATTGATAGTTCTTTTTGATTTTAAGATCGATAAAACAAGTTTCTTTATGTCAAAAAAAAAATACGGGGTACCCAACCCACAACTTTTTTTAAAGGGGTAGCTTTAATTTTTTTTCTCCTTAGAATATTGGGCCTTTAAATCTACAGCACTGGCAAAAATGAAAAAAAAAAAAAAAAAAAAAAATCGCAACAGCAAACTTAAAAAAAAAAAAACGTTTTTCTGAATGTTAGTTTAACGCCCTGTGACTTTGTTGGGAGACAGTTTTTGATATAGGTAAATATAACCAAATCCACTTATTTTTTGGTAATCTATCTGAGGAAGAATTTATGACATACCTTTTTGAAACACCCTGTATATTCATTGCCAAAGAAAATACTGAATAATCAATATTTTACACTTTCTCTGAAATTTTTCCATTAGCGTCCAGTTTAGAGAAATCATGTATAGAACAAAAATTATAGAGAATGATATCGCAAACAACTTTTATTTTCTTAAAAATTTGAATTTTGCACTTTTTGTTAAATTTCTCGAATACGAATCATTTTAGGAAAATTATGTATAGGACAAAAATTATAGATATATTCCATAAAGTAGAAAAATACCCCAATAAATTACTCCCCCAGATATTCCGACTATGCCCAAAATTTAATCATTTCATTGTAGGATGGATTAAACCTTAAATTTAAAATTTATTATTTTTCTCTTATCCGTTTTTAAGGAGGTCCTTTCGCCACCAATGTTAAATAAAAAATATTAGATTATGACTAAAATTTATTTTTTTTCTAATAGTTGAAGTCCTTATTTATCTAATGTTGAACTTTTAACTATACCTTACCGTGCAAATTTTTGAGATTTTTTTTTTTAAATGTGAGTATTTGTACAGTCTCTTACGAGAAAATAAGACCTCAACAACAATTCTCGAATTATATTATTATTTATTGATTAGATGGAGTAGAAAAAAACTAAAAATAGGGTTTTTGAAATATTTAGGTTCTGTTTTTTACAATAAAATATATAGGTTACCTTGGAATTTATTGAGAAATTAATATTAAAAAAAAATTTGAAGTAACCTAGTTGAAAATTTTTTGTGATTTTTTAATATTAATTTCTCAATAAATTCCACGGTAACCTATATATTTTATTGTAAAAAACAAAACCTAAATATTTCAAAAACCTTATTTTTAGTTTTTTTCTACTCCATCTAATCAATAAATAATAGCAAAATTAATTATAATTCGAAAATTGTTGTTGAAGTCTTACTTTCTCGTAAGACACTGTAAAAACACACACATTAAAAAAAAATTCTCAAAAATTTGCACGGTAAGGTATAGTTAAAAGTTCACTATTAGATAAATAAGGACTTCTACTATTAGAAAAAAATTAATTTTAGTCATAATCTAATATTTTTTATTTAACATTGGTGGCGAAAGGACCTCCTTAAGTTATCTTCAAAATTCAAAATTTGTACTTTTTCTCAAATATCTCGAATACCGTCCGTTTTAGAAAAATTATGTTTGGGACAAGAATTATAGAGAATGACATCACAAACAACTTTTATTTGAACAATTTTCTTAAAACTGTACATTATTTATTTTTTAAACATTTGCCAGCAAACATCAAACAAACAAGCCGAATTAACCAGTATAAAAAAATATCGTAAAACGAAAAGCTTTTTATTTTTGTCAAGAATTATTTGACATAAATTTTGATTGTATTCCTTCCTGTCTTTTTTTATTTCTTTTATATTTTTCATAGTGTTTTAAATGTGCAAGTGTTTGTTAAACATTTTACTTTCTTGTATTAATTTTAAGATATTACATAAATCAACTAACAAAATAAACAATTTTTTTTGTAATGTAATAAAATTATTATTTATTTTAAATACGTTAAATATAACCCCTACAGTTAGGCAATCTACTAATGTTCCCACTATTTATTTTGTACTTTTCTAAATTGTTATAAAAATAGTATAAAACATAGCGGAAAGATTAACGGATTGCCTAACTGTAGGGATTATATTATAAATTATAATAGTCGTATTTTTACATTTTTCGACTTTTTTACAAAATAAAAAACTAGATTGTTTTTATCGAGAGTTGAATCCAGTCGCGAAATCCAAAGTTGAGCGCGCTAACGACCTGAGCCATAAAGACTTATTTCAAGTTAATTAATTATCTAATCAAATATATGACATCATTTTCTACAACAGTTTTTTTTTAAGACACTGTCATCGAGAGCTTCATTACTTGTGCTTCTGCAGTAAAGTATATCCATCTTCTAAGGCAAAATAAACAATACATTTGTAAATTAGCCCCGTGCAAATGTACCAAAAAAGTGTCACTGGTTCTCTCCCCTAGCTGTCCTAGCATAATCAGCTCATTACAGGATGGATTACAGCTCAATTTGGCGTTTTTATCTTTATTATTATTATTGAGTTAACCTTGACAACTACAAACACCCACAAACAGAGACATCCGTGAAAATTGCCAAAACGGATTCGGGGGACCCCAAAACGTAAAGAGCCGTCGAAAACTCGACGTAAAAAAAATTATAACTCTCATACTTTCCTGGATAAAAGTATAATTTTTTTTTAGCATTATAGCACCATATGAAATAAACAAAATATCTACATACCTGAGGATTTCCTTTTTCTATCTCTTTCTCGATCTCGATATCTTTCAGGTGATCTTCTTCGTCTTTTTGGAGAAGATTCCCTCTTAGGCGAATGGGTTTTAGGTTTTGGAGAACTTTCACGTTTTCGGTTGCGTTTGGGGGACACGTTCCTTTTTTCAGATTTAACGTCACTTTGTACGATTTTGGGTGGGGGACTCAAAGACCTTTGTTGTATTTGTACTTGTTCTACTACAGGTTCTTCCAGTTTAGGAATTTTAATCGCCGTTTCTACATTCAACGTTGGCTCAGTTTGAGTAAGTCCTTTAACGTCACTGTCGGACAAATGTTCCCTTCGAATTTCGTCGATGGGTTTCATGGTGTTATCGATTTCATCGTCGGAATCGCATAATTTTAAGTTAGAATTGTCCAATAAGGTTTTTTTGGTGGGTAGCACCAACGTTGTGAAAGTAAACGGTTTTTTTGGGCTACTAATGTTTTCAAATTCCTTAGCAACTTCCTCTTCCTTAGATACTGTCTCTTTGGTGGGTAAAAGTAATGTTGGGAAAGTAAATAGTTTTTTCGGACTACTAAATTCTTTAATTTCCTTAGTAACTTCTTCTTCATTAGAGGCTGCCTCTAGGTAGATATTAGAAGAACTGATATCATCTATAATCGCTTGGGAGCTATTATCAGCACAGGAGTCGACATTTTCTGTAAAAACCGGACTTTCTAACGGTTTTATAAGATGATAACCAATGGGAGAGTCTAGTCCTTTAATGATGCTGGTAGAAAGATTGAAACTGATCAACGGTTTGGGAATATTTTCAACTACAGGACACGGGACTGGAACTGGTTTGACTTCATCAGGCATTGGTATGAAGGGTATATCTTTAGGTGAAATAACACATTCGGGTTTTTTTGGTGTTCCTAAAGGTTTAGTTTCTTGTATTTTTTCTAACGAAATACTGTCCAAAATTTCCACCGATTCGTTACTACTGACAGATATGATGCAATCATCAATTTTGCTGCTGGATAGTGAATCTGTGTTAGAAGTAACTGCTTTCATAAATTCGACATATTCATGTTCTAGAGAAGAACTGTTTAAAGACGCCACGCTCAAGTTATTAGTCTTAAGGCTACTGTTTGGTGTTGATTCTCTCTCAGTTTTATCCCAACGTCGTTTCTTTTCCGGTACCACGGGAATAATAGTCTCAAGTTTCGGTTCTTCTATATTTTTAGGGGATTTGTTTTTATCGGATATTTCTTGTATAGATACGTTCATTGAGAAAATCTCTTCAGTGTCTATTTTGAATTTGTCGAATCTTCTTGGTGTTTTCTTAGGCTCTTTGGCATCTATTTTAAATTCATCTATTATTTTAAATGTTTCTTTATTATCTTCAAGACCTATTTCGAATTCGTCTATTGGTTTTGATGTTTCCATGAGTTCTCCCACATCTATTTTAAATTCATCTATTCTTTTTAATGGTTTTTTAGTTTCTTTAGTATCTATTTTGAATTCATCTATTCTTCTTGATGATTCTTTAATCTTTTCAGTATTTATTTTAAAATCGTCAGTTCTTCTTGATGCTCTCTTGAACTCGCCAATATCTATTTTGAGTTCATCTATTTTTTTGAATGCTTTCCTATTCTCCATTGTATCTATTTTTTTGGATACTTTCTTATTCTCTGCAATATCTATTTTGAATTCATCTATTCTTCTTGATGGTTTCTTTAGCTCTTCAGCATCTATTTTGAATTCATTTATTTTTTTGGATGCTTTCTTATTCTCTGCAGTATCTTTTTTGAATTCATCTATTTTTTTGGATGCTTTTTTAGCCTCCGCAGTATCTATTTTGAATTCATCTATTCTTCTTGATGGTTTCTTTAGCTCTTCAGCATCTATTTTGAATTCATTTATTTTTTTGGATGCTTTCTTATTCTCCACAGTATCTATTTTGAATTCATCTATTTTTTTGGATGCTTTTTTAGCCTCCGCAGTATCTATTTTGAATTCATCTATTCTTCTTGGTTTCTTTAGCTCTTCAGCATCTATTTTGAATTCATTTATTTTTTTGGATGGTTTCTTATTCTCCGCAGTATCTATTTTGAATTCATCTATTTTTTTGGATTCTTTTTTAGCCTCCGCAGTATCTATTTTGAATTCATCTATTCTTCTTGACGGTTTCTTTAGCTCTTCAGCATCTATTTTGAATTTACCTAGTCTTCTTGATGTTTCCTCTACAGGCAGATTAATGGGATCAAGATCTCTTTTTTTAAACGGTTTTATATTTAATGGTATCTCAAAATTCGATACTTCACTGAAATTTCTAACATATTCATTAGGTCTTTCCTCTTTTTCATACACATCGTCGTCACTTTCCCATGAATTATTTAATTTAGTTTGTGCAAGTAAATTTTCTTCCATGCTTCCAAAGGAATCTTTTTCCCAATTTCCTTTATATTCATTAGTGTCAGGTGTTTGTGCATCCAAAGAATCGATAAAAATGTCTTTTTGCACAGTAACGTCATCATCAAATTCTCGTTTTTTGTGCTTTTTAGGTGTTTTCGAACGATTTGTTTCTGAATCTAATAAATCCAACTTTTCTTGTACGTCTAGATCTAGACTACGTCTATAACTTTTATTTATTGCAATTAGATCGATTGTTTTCTCTTCATCATGTTTATCACGTTTATCATGTTTATCATGCTTATCATGTTTATCATGTTTATCATGCTTATCATGATTATCATGTTTATCATTCTTATCATGTTTATCAGGATGTTTTCGATTTTCGTTTCTTAATTCTTCTGTATCCAAAAAGTCACTTTTCGATTCTCTTCTCTTTTTATTGTTCTTTTTTAATTTTTTACGCAAATCGTCTAGCACAGGTGATTTTGTTTCTACATTTTCGGTTTCTCTTTTCTTTTTCTTCGCATTTTTATCTTTTATATCAAGCTGTTCTGAAAGCTTGGCTTTCTTCTTTGACTTTAAATCTTTCGACGAAGAAGTTTTCTTTGTTTCTTTTTTATTCTTTGATGTTTTTTCTTTTTTATCTTTTGATTTTTTACGTTTAATCCTCTTTTTTTCTTCCTCCGAGCTATCGGATTGTTCATCAGAAGCTCGCCGTTTTCGTTTTCTTTTCTTCTTTTTCTTTTTCGGAGTGCTTTCCGTTTTCTTCTTAGCTGTCTTCTTTTTCTTGATTTTAGGTTTTGATTTAGTTTCGGTAATATTTTCTTCAATTTCTTTTTGGTTATCCAATTCTAAGTTATTCGATTCAGTTCTTTTAAAGCTTTTTTGTAACTGCAGTGGTATTTCGGGCGTCAATATACCTGTTTCATCTTCTGGAACCGTACTCACATTTAAAGCGGGGCTTGCATTATTTTCTTCCAACGTATTATTTTTGCTTTGTGATTCCTCGTCTTGACTTTCAATTGTTACTACGAACTCGTCATAACTTTTATCAATTTCCTTAGTTAATTTAAAGGAATCATTAGGTACTTTCTCAATTTCCTTAGTTAATGTAAAGGAATCATTAGGTACTTCCTCAATTTCCTTAGTTAATCTAAAGGAATCATTAGGTACTTTTTTAATTCTTGAATTATTAGCATTACTAATACTGCTACATATTAAAATTTCTTCAGTCTCATTTTCTTCTTCTTCATCTGAATAAGTTTGAAGAAAAGATAAACCAACAGAGTTTTCTAAAATCTTGCATTCTGCATCGGTGTGTTTTCTCCATGTCTTGTTATACCATGACTTACTTTCAACCATTTTATTTAAAGGTTGCAATCTGTTGGACAAATATAAAATATAGTTTCATGTAATAGAAGATGATATTTTGTATTTATAACCTCTTTTATTTTATATAAGGTGTTATTAAAATACTTGTTTATATTAAAAGTGACAAAAAACGAATGACACCAATTTTAGAACTAAAATCTAAAATTTAATATTGGGTCATTACACCTTTTTCCAACCAATATTCTACGTTTGATTGACAGCAGTGCTGTTACAGAATAAAAACAACAAAAATAAAACATAATGAATCTTATTTCTACTATAATAATGATCTTAGAAACATTTGGAATATTTTTTTATAAAAAGGGTCGTTTCCAACTTAAATTTAGCAATTTAGTTGGTTTCTCTAGCATTCATAGTTATTTCACAATTAATTATTAAATTTCGAATAAATAGACCACGCCCCCCGTTTTTCTTGTAGCAGTACGCTACGTCATCGGCGCCGATAGAAGTATGTAGTAAATATTATTACGCCTTTGCTGTCGTTTGCGTTTTTCGAAAGGTCTGCTTAAAATATCCGGTATAAATATTGTATTGTACCGAACTGTACAAACACGACAATATACACAAAATATTCATTAGTGTGCCAAAAGGAGAGAAAATACGGAAACAATACAATGAAGAGAGACAATAAAATAAATAAAGTTACTTCGAATACATGTAATTGGTTTTGTTGTGAAGATCATTTTGAGGTAAGTTAATTTTAAATTAATTAAGGTACCTATTACTACAGTAGTATTTTTAGTCAAACTAGTACACGTGCTTACTGAGAGGGTCTGCTACTGCTAAATTCAAATATTTTGTAATTAAAAGATCTATAAAAACTCATTTAAATAGTTCATTTTTTAAATTATTTTAAAAAGCAGAACCCAGAACAATGGGATAGGTACTCTACTTTATGTAAATACTAATATACACCAGTCATTGCAAACGCTATTAAAGGCCAGATGGATTTTCCATACTTAATATATGTATTTCCTTACAATAACAAATCAATACAAAATATCTATTAGTATTATGAAAATTGTTGTTCTCAGTATTTTTTAATAACATGTAGGTAAATAGTATAGAAATGTCAGTTACATTTGCAGCCTACCATCATAAAAAAGCATTAGTAATTTATGGCCTTTGGAACTAGAATTTCCTAATATTATGCCGGTTATAAGTGGCTCATCCTGCCCAAACATATGGATTTCTTAGTATATAAATAAAGAAATGGATATACGAGGTGTGGCAGAAAAGTAATGAGACTGATTTTTTACATGTTTTTATTTCTTTAAAACATCAATGTTATCTCCTTCAAAGTAGTTCCCTTTGGCAGTTATACACCGATGGAGACGTTGTTACCAGTGGTCGTATCAGCGCTGGAAGTCTTCAACCGTTATAGTTTTCAGCATGTCTGTTACAGTCTTTTGGATGATTTCTAAAGTCCCGTAATGACGGCCTTTGAGGAATTTTTTCAGTTAAGCGAAAAGGAAGAAGTCACAGGGGCTGAGGTGGGAATAAGGGGGCTTTATACTCGTATAAAGCCGTGCTTGGCAATTCACGTGAGACCAGACATTGCAGAGAAATGGTTGCTCCATCATGACAACGCCCCATGTCACACTGCCCTCTCCACAACAGAATTTTTGACCTCAAAAAGCATTCCTGTGGTTCCTTATCCCCCCCATTCCCCTAACCTCTCAGTCCCTGTGACTTCTTTCTTTTTCCTAAACTGAAAAAGTCCTCAAAGGCCGTCATTTCGGGACTTTAGACTTTGAAGGGGATAACATTGATGTTTGAAAGAAATAAAAACTTTGTAAAATAAAAAATCAATTTCATTACTTTTCTGCCACACCTCGTATTTTATTAATATTTGATATACTGGGTCTTGCAAAAAGATTTATAAAATGTTTAAAGGAGATAAAGGAAGATGGAAGGGAACATAATATATTTTTTTTTATTCCAGCTTGAAACTGATATGGAAAACTATATGGAGTGGAAGATGATAGGCGGAAACGTAAGGCTCAGAAAGGGTGTTTTACTTCATATTTTTAAGTGTCAGCAGTCAGGTTCTGAGTATATCAAACCTGAAAGAGATGCTGTAGCGAAAAGACGTCGCACTGAAATCCTCCAAAATAAAATATAGTCATCAAATCTAGACACACTTCAAAATCAGTGGAGTGGGTTACTGTAGTAGTGGTGGTATTGAAGACGACCCACTCGAGCCAGGAAATCAATATGGCCGGCCGCTCTCCTACACAATCGGCGCTGATAACGTAGCGCCCAACTAGGAAGGTATCTCGGGGGGCATAAAATAACCCAATACTTTTAAATTTTTAAGTTCGATAATACTAATCCAAAAAAACGCCATTATTCTTGTAAAATTAAGTTGTATTTATTTTTGATAAAAAATATACTTTTTTTAAATTTTCCAAGTCCATTGCCGAATATTTTAGACTGAAACCATATCCGCCAGTGATGTGTTCACACAGCACCTTTAATATATATATATATATATATATATATATATTTTCTTCAATAAATTAACAAGTACCAGCGAACTAAAAAACGTTAAAATTTTGAAATTTTTTTCATATTCGAAATTTACGTTGTTAAACAAGCAATTTTTAAATAGGCATAGTTTTTATTTTAAACAAATTTAATAGTACATTATATACCTAGGGTGAGAAGTGAGCTATTATTTACCGAGCGTAGCGCCGAGGGATATAATGTGCGAGGTAAATAATAGCTTTCTCAGCCGAGGTATTGATAGAATTTTTTTTACTACTAACCTGAGAAATTGCTATTATTCACTCCATTCCCCTAACGAGAAGTAATATTTCTCACCCTAGGTAAATAATGATAATAAAAAAACACCTAGGTAAAAAATGAGAACAATTTGAGAAGGTTATTATTTACCTAGGTAAATAATGATAATAAAAAAACACCCAGGTAAATAATGAGGAAAATTCTATATTCTTAACGAAATTAACAGAAACACTTGTTACCGTAATTTTAATCAAAAGCACAAAAATATATATTAACTAGGAAATTCAACACCGGCAATAGGCTTCAAAAATTATTAATTAATACCAATAAATCCATGTCACTAAAATATCAAAAATGCAATGGGATATTTCCTAGAATCATATCAAAATTTGACACATGCCAAATTTTTACATAAATAAAGACAGTCTGATTAGAAACACGCTCCACTCTGCTTGATATTTCGAAATATTTAACAAATTGTTAGGAAATTACTTATGTCAAAATTAAAATTGCTAATATATTAATGTTAGTAGTAAAAAAAATATTTTCTTCTATTCTTTACTTAATAAAATGATAAAAATAAAGGCTTTCATACAAATTTTCAGTTTATAAGTGTTGCGTAAACGCATCACCGGTCAAATAGTAGTTCAGTCCAGAAATACATTTTCAAGTACAGGCTTGCATACATTTTATTCAGCTATCCTTATTTATCATTGGAAATAAAATATTTCCTGTACTTTAATGATTGGTGTACCGACGGAAAGAGATACTAACAGATATAATAGACAAAAAAAAGGTTGTCAAGTATCACAACCAAATGTTGTGGCTAAGTATAATATATACATAGGTGGTGTTGACTTTCACAACAATGGAGTAGCCAATTATAGAATATAAAAGGAAAAAAATGGTAGTGGCCCTTATTCAGAAACACAATTGACAACATTATAGAAAATTCATGGAAAATTTAAAACATTACACACTTTAAAAAATGTAAGAGCTAGAATTTAGATCATACATTGTTTTGTCCTTACTAAAAGTAGAAATACCGCAAAGAAAAAATTAGCAAATCCGTTATATAAACTACCATGTGAAATCCCACGAAATAAACACAGTAGCCATACTCCACAGAAGACGGAAATACAAAGATGTTGATGTCATAGCCAGACAATTTATACATGAGGAAAATGTAACGTTGGCTGCTTGCAAATGTATGTTCATCGTATTGACCGGTGATGCGTTTACGCAATACCCTGTTTTTGTAAAGTATATGTTTAAAATTTTTTTTTTAATTTTTGTATTCTAATTAAGGTATTTTCATAAAAGTTTTACAAAAATTCAATTATTATTTTATTTCTTTTATGGATTGGTTATTAATGGGTTAAAAGATAAACAAAAAATACATACGAAAATTTAGCACTAACAGCATTGGTAATTTGACAACAATGCTAACGATAACAAATGTACGCAAGCGGAAGTCTAGTTGGTCTAAACAACTCACACATGGATCTCGGCGCAGAAGTTCTGATATATCACGGCAATTTAGAGATGGACTGTAACATGTAACCTCAATGACAAAAAAAAATCCTTTAAACCAATAAATTTTGGATTCTACTAGTAAAAAGGGGGGAAATGGAGACAGCCATAAATTTTAATGGAAATATCATAGACCAGCTACAGGATTCTGTTAAAAATATTACTCAAGAAAACTCAACAGCTTAAAAAACAACTAAAATAATTGCACCAAGAAGTAAATAAAACAAATAACTGCAGTCTCACAGGTTGACATATCAATAAATATGATTATTATGGGCTTAGACGATAAAAGCACTGAATCTAATAAAAAAAACCAGGAGCTCCTTGAGAACAGAAAACTTTAAAGCAAGGCCAGGAGGTCAGTTTTGGTCACATTCAAGTCAATGGAAGAATGTAACTTAGTATTGCAACTAAGAAAGGAGGTTGGAAAACTGGATTTGAAAGCCTTAGCTTTGGATGGAATTCCGAGAAGAATTTTTTAAATGGTTGTTCGTGACTTCATTAACAAATCTAGAGATCTACATACATTTGGTTACGTGGCAGAGAGGAGACCAAATATTTCGCAGAGGGAATAACGAAACAGAGAAAGATATAATTAAAGACCTAGACCAACTAAAATCTTTAAAAGGAATTATTGATAATAGCTAAGACGAAAAAACTTTTTTTTTCAATAGCAAAGGTATATCGCATTAAAAAAAAGGGTATGGTGAGATTCCATTTTTCACGACATACCTCTGAATTAAAAAAAAAAAAGTTGAGTTGGGTTGCAGACAAGGGGTTGAAGAAAAAAATTTCATTTTATTTTCAACAAATACGTCCAATGTAAAATCAATTCACGTGTTTCAGTGTTTTTTTTTTTTAGTTACTGGTGCAACTATGTATATCTTCATTCTAGTTTTATATTAGATCTTTTTTGTAGGTTGAATTTAAAATATTTAGAATTCCTGTTCTATTTGTTAACTTTATCTCTAAATTTTTTTTCACAGAATTAATAGTTTTCAAATCGAAAATATAAAATACAATAGCATGTTTACTTACTTGGAGTGAGAACTTATTACATTTTTAATGGCCTGTTGTCGTTCATCCGACACCAATTGAAATAATTGGTCTCTTGTCAAAAAACTTTCCTTGATTTTTTCAGAATTTACATTGTAGACTATAGAAGGTTTGCTTTTTGTTCGTCTGAAACGTAAATATAATATAAATGTAAAAAAATATATATCACAAAATTGGATAATATACCGAAAGAATTTGACAGGTACATAAAAACTTACTTAAGCAAAAAAGGTGAAATCTCCTTCATTCCATTTTCAGTACCACATCTAAACGATTCAATATAAGGAGACGGGAGATGAAAACTGTAAAGATTATCTAATACATCTTTAACAGATCTATTTTTTGAATAATTTTTGGAACTTGATTTGTCTTCATATTTGTTTGCATTATACTCTGACCAGTCCTTTGGATATTTGTATACAGGTGATGACCTTGTTTTGCTTCTATGATGGTGAACTTCTGGTGAAGGTGATTTTCTATATGTACCACTATCAGTACGTCTATAATTCCTCTGCTTAATTTCTCTCCTTCTGAACGGTTCAGTGGATTCTAAATACAAAACAATACAATATATTCTAAATGACAATACTTAAATAGGATAATCTTAATTTTAGATTCACAGTAAGAAATATAATAAAACTGATGTTGAACCTCTAGATATGTGAAGGGTAAAACAATGCCTATAAAAAATAAAACACACAAAGAAACATTTTTAAATTATTATTACTTAATATTTAATAATATTACTTAATTTTTTAATTTATATTAGAAAAAAATCTCAAAAAATTTGTTTTATCTAAAAAGTTACCTCTTGATGGATGATGATCACTAGTTTGATGAATATATACTGTGGTAGCTAATAAATGACGTACGTTATCATCTTCTATTTGTTTTCTTTTTCCTAACGCAATTTCTTTTCTTTTTTCTTCTTCTATTTCTTGAATAACTGTTTTAGCCTTTACAGTAGGGTACATATCTAAAATATAAATATATTTATAGGTACGAAAATATAATAAAGGAACAGAAACAAAAAATGCTTGTTGTGCATTTTTAAAATAAATTGTCAAAATTTCACTTTATTTTCTCTTGAAACAAATTTTTTATATTATGCCTGCTTTACATCTGATTATTCATGAAGAAATTGATAGATGCAAAACCAAACTTCACCTGATTTCATCATGATAACAAGAATTTGTCACTGTTTCCCAGTGCCAGTTTAGAAACAGCACTGTTAATTAGAACCCAACAGTGAATGTTCTGAGTGGGGAATTCTATACATGAAATAATTATTTTACCTCAATCTTACAAAAAAGTAATATATAAAGTAAGTCAGATATTCTTTGGTGTCAGAGTTGAAGTAGAAGTTATTATTCCTCACATTTTTAACCTAATACGTACATAAATTAAATGTCAAGACAAAAACAAACACAAAAAATTCTTATTAAAGAAAATAATAATATAAAAACAGCATTTTTAAGAAAGTTGTACTTCTGGTATCTTCTATCTTTTTAAGATATTTGAATTCTGGTTAGTTGTACTAACCTACAATAAAACAAAATTGTTTTGCCCTTTTAGTTTTTCAAATTCCTGCAAAATATTTTAATCACAATAATTAAAACATGACTTTTAATTTTGTCAGCATTTTTTACCACTACTCTAAATTGCAAACCCCATACAGCAAATCATTTGACTAGATGGCAGAGAATGCAGGATTGCTAAAAATGCTTAGCATGAATGTGAAAGTGTTTTATATTATTAGGTATATTTGAATGCTATATTTTCTCAACTTAGGTATATATGCTTTTAAAAACAAATTGTTTCTATATATCAAAGATTTAGGAAAAATATTTGCCATAGATTCTTTATTGATACTTTGCCCAAAGCATGCAATATATTACCTTTGGAGATTAGACTTATCACTAGGTCTAGATTGTACTAAATTTTTTTAAATTTTAAAATAAAAAATAATAATAAATATATATAGAACAAGTATACACACTAAAATAATTTTCAAAATTACTCTATATTGCTTGTACACATTCAATGTTAATTTAATACTTAAAATTTAACACCTACAAAAAGGTAGTTGTATAGATAACCAAAAATTTGCAAAAGTAATTGACCTTTGCGGTACAACACCCATCAGGGTTAGGTTACTTCTAATAGTTGTCTTGTGTTTTTGTATGGTATTATTGGATAGAAAGATATTGTGATAGGACATAATGCTGTACAAAATAAAAAAAAAATACTAAGAAATATATTAAACATATTTAGGAAACCTATATAATTGAGTGAACTTCAATTATTAAAATATTTTAAAAATAAAGTGCAGTCACAACATAAACATAACAAAGTGTATACCTATAATAATGTTCTATAGTTCAGGACCCACTCGAAATGCAGTGTAACCAGGCATAGGCAATGTATTTTTATTAAGAGACCAGTACACTGAGTTGCTGGCACATGGTGTTACCAGACCTGATTGTTAGCCTATCCAGCATAGCAACAACTAGCAATGGTGTACTCCATAAGATTTCACTGCATTATCAGTATGTCCCGAACTATGTCGTTTTCAATGAGTATTTAAATGGTCTACTGCTACACCTAAGAAATTAACCAAAATATCTTATATTTTGTGTAATCATGTAAAGTTATGGTGGACCAAATTCTCAATGAAGTCCCTAGTTTTGATGGTGTCTTTTATTCCATTAATCCCTCAATATAAATAGTTTAGGAGCAAGTTTGAAATATTTAAATAGGGAATACTGGAACTTCAATAAATTATTCATGTCGATAGAATTATATCTAAGCATTAACTAAATATTTTGTAATACTTAATATTAAAAAGATGAAGATAATAATGTTGAATATTAAAATTATAGATAAAAAAAGTGACCTAAATTATAAGGCATCAATAACAATACACTCTTCCTCCTGGATTATTCATTTATCATATTTATATGGAATTGTTTCTTTTAAATCTCCACTTATGGAAAAATAGATTGTGTTCTGAACAATTAATGTACCGATAAACAAATTAAATAACTCATAGACATATTTTGGTTTACTAACCTTTCTTTCTCTTGAAAGAAAGATCTTGACGTTGCTCTTTACATTCAGTTTTTTCTTCTTTAATAATTGGTATTTTATGAATTTGTTGACTATAAGCTTGTAACCTCTTTTTAGCTAAAGCCGTATTCGTAAGATTAAATTTTACTACATTTTTTTCACTTTTTTTAGATTTTAGAGTCAATTCACTAAAACATTCTTGAGAGTCTCCAGATAACTGGGGACTATCACTGTCTGCACAATTGCTATTTGAAGCCAAATTAGCAATAGGAGTATGTACTGGTTCAAAACAATATTCCGAACTTAGGTCACCTATCCATTCTGAATTGAAAGACTCCATTAGTGTGAATAACCAATTTCATATTCAAGAGCCTAAAATAATTTCAAATTTGTTTTATATACATAATAAATCAATTCAAGACTAGTTTAATTTTATTTTTATACTTTTTAAGTCGACTGTAAACTTTTTATTTATTTAATTGGGCATGGAAAAACTTAAATAAAATTTATTTTGATCACTAATTTGATATTTGATGAACAGTGAACACAACTGTGAACACCTCTGGTGAACACAACCGAACACAGAAATCTAACTATAAACTTCTGCTAGAGTTGGACGAAAATCATGTAACGGTAACAGCTTAACCTAATCAGGAAAATGTTTTTATCAGAAACCTGTAGTTGTATGTAATTCAGACATGTATGTATAATAGCTATTTATAAAACCAGTTGCGATATACCAAATATTTTACATGCAATATTTTTCTAATTTTGACTAAAATTGTGTTTTGGTAGGCAACCAATATTACGCTCTTGTATTGTTAGTTGCATATGCAAGTGTTCTGTGGCATATGCATCATTTTATTGACAGATTAAAATATTAATTATTTATTCTCAAAAAGTAGGTAATTTTGTTGTGTATTATGTTTTAATTATTTTGTGCTGATTTGAAAGTTTATATCGAAAGAAAATAAGATTGGCTACATAAAAATATAATTTAGTACCCTAAAAATAATTATGTTTAGGTGCTTATTTTCCATCTAAAATCAGCACAAAATAATCAAAACAGTGTTTCACTCAATACACAACAAAATAATCTACTTCCTTGAAAACCAACAAGCATTCAAAAAAACCACAACAAGAATTTTCTAAAAAAATATTCCAAGGTGAGTTATGCAATGTATCTAATAATGCAATGCAAACGAAAGTAATATTGGTTGCACAGATAGATAATTGTATTCAAAATTCTTCAAGCGAACGAAATTATACATTTTGCCGCGTTTGAGAATCCACATCGGATGCATCTGAGATGTAGTCAATCTTTGATCACGTGATTCAGTATACGTAAATGTAATGGGACAGATGTGTCCAATGTGGATAAAAAAACGATCGAGATGTAAAAAATGCATCCGATGTGGATTCTCAAACGCGGCAATTATTATGCTATTTTAAAAAAATATTTAAAATAACCACATTTTCTAAAATCTTTAATTGAGTTACAAAAAATTAATGGTTAATGATTTTTTTACTAAACAATTTATCAAAATTAGAAAAATATCTTGTAACACTTTTATGTTTTGTGCATAGTGTAACTCGTTCATTTTGGAGGACCTCGTTCTTTTCGTCCTGCAAATATTCACTAGTTATATACACAAAATAAGGCATTTCGTAACTGGTTACATTGACTTTAGATAGTTTATAAACAATAAACTTGATAATTAATACATAATTGCTGCGTTTGTTTATCCACATCGGACAAATCTGTCCTAGTTTACGTATATTGAATCACGTGATTAAATATTTACAACATATCAGATGCATCCAAAGTGGATATTCAAACATAGCAATTATTATTATTATTATATTTTATCTCCCATCTCTAATTGTGTTAATTTCTTTCACAACAAATGTTTGTTAGTATATTTTCCTCTGATATGACTTTGTCATTTGATCGGTTCTAATTTATCATGTGTTTCTTATGTAGCAAAGTCGTATGCGCAGCGTTAAGAGTAACACCATGGTAATAATCGAACGTAGGGTCAAAGATAAAATATACTATTTGTCTCTTTTATTTACATTACTTGAAAGGAAACAGCAACTGTCGCTTAAAATCGATTTCCAAACAAAAGAGTTGGATCTTCTGTCATCTGTTGTCAAATGTCAATTTTAACGAAGATTGAAGAACGGCAGCCATTTTCGTTATAAGGTTTTTCTTGTTATGTATAAATGCTAGTGTTGTGAAAGCAGATTTTAATAATCAATTCGCAACTTTTGAAATGAACAGGGTATTCTTAAAATTAAGTTAATCTACCATTCAATATTAATCATATCCTTTTGCAGATACCAGGTTCAGATGAAGAAGACGATATAGAAAGTTTAAGATTAGCAGCTTTGCAATCGCTAAAAAGAAGAGAGAGTTTCTCTTTGAATTCAGATTCTTCTCCTCATTTTAGAGGTAAAGGTTCTCGAAATAAATGGGGACGATTTGGATCTCATCAAAGACCTGGAAAAACAGTAAGATATTTAAGTATAATGCGATTATTAGCTACGTCTTATTTTTTTAACTTAGAGTGTCTATGGGTTTGCTTGTGCATGTTTTCGGTTATCTATACCACTACCTTTTTGTAGGTTTTAAATTTTTATACCCCTATACATTTAATATATTTCACTACTTACTTTGTCAATAGTGTCAATACACCTTAAATAAGTAATTGAAAATACAAATGTCCTAAGAGTTCAGTTAATACAATTTACAATAGGTTTGTTCTTATACTAATAAACCCTCTGGTCATATGCATGTGATAATTAGAACTGATACAGGCATACATTTCTAATACTTGCTGATGAAACTAATATTGTTTTCCACTGGTGACAGAGGCAGTTACAGCTCAAGATTTGTTTTCCATTAGTACCTACATAGGTTTTACAGAATATAAAATTAGTATCAGAATGTTTTACATGAACGATGAACCTATGATTCTAAATTTTTGACCATTATGTATAAATAATATTTCATGTTAGCAGATATTGTTCAAAAAGTGACACAATCAATCTAAATATTAAAAAAGAAATACTTATTACAATTTTTTTTAGGGTCATTTCAGTAGACACCGCAACACAAATTTAATACCTATTATGCCCATTGGTACTGAATCTGATGCTGAAACTGAAAAAAAATCAAATTTACTCAAAGTTGCAAGTTCTGAAAGTGTAAACAAAGAAAATTCTTCAAAAGAAGTAGGTTGTAGTAAATTTACTAGATATAATAAATCAGAAAGTGAATCTGAAGGAGATGAAACTACTTCTGATGAAAACCAACCTGGGAAATTGAAAAAATCCGATAGTTTAGAAGCATTAATGCAAGAATTGGATGAAGAAATTAAAGGAAAACAAATAGATGGTGAAACACAGACTACAAAGGAAGTTACACAAAACGAAAAAATAACAGAACAGAGCTCCTCAGGTGTAGAAACGCAAGTTGAATTATTGAATAAGGCAGTTGAACCTACAAAAGAAGAAGAAAACACTTCTTCCGCTGATGTTAAAAGCATTGCAGAAGACACATCATCCATTAAAGTTGATACTGGAATTAATAAATTTGAAAGAAAGAACATTTTTCCTCGAAAACATTTCAAATCTAAGTCACCTAACAGTAGATTTTTTCATAAAAAACGCAGAATGTATCATAATCCAAATATGTCATCCCCACCACATCATATGCCATTTAATTTTAATCTTAATCCGTTTGGACCTCCAATAATGCCATTTATGAATCCTCCTCAACACAATCCGATGTTCATGCAGACAAATGTTTCTCAGCCACCTCCCTTGTATTTTGAGAGACCAATATCACCACTTTCAATTAATACAGATTCACTTACAACAGCTACAATGGCACCATTATCTCCCAGAAGTGCTAGATTTGTACTGGAAAACAAGGCTATAATTGAAAGAAGGAAAAGATCTCCAAGAAGATCATATTCTAGAAGTCCTTCTCGAAGTTTGTCTCGAAGCCCAAGATATTCTCCTAGTCCACCAAGAAGGTTTAGAAGATCTGTATCGCCAAGAAGACTATCTAGATCACCAAGACGGTTTTCTCCACGAAAACGGTCTCTTTCACCTAGGCGAAGATCACCAAGTCCTAAAAGAGAAAATCCTCCCATTTCACAACAAACTAGACCACAAAATAGACCTAAACCTAAACCTGAAAAGGTTGAGGAAAACAAACCAAAAGAAACTGATGTTCCTAAGGTTGAAGAAGAGCAAATATTAGACCCCATTTTGCTAGCCAGAAAGAAGAAATTTGAATCTAATGAAATAAAGAAGAAGGAGGGTATTATCAGGTTAAAACCAAAAGATGATAAACCTGTGAAATCTGAAACTACAACTAAATCTGCAGATTCAAAAGCGGAGACTTCAACTTCCCTTTCAAATGAAAGTCAAAAGCCAAATGAAATTAAAACATCCACTAAGTCAACATCTAAAGGAACACCAAAAACTGAGCAACCAAAACCAAAAACTGATGATTCAAAAGGTAAAATGGAAGAAGCAAAAGGGAAAATGGAAGAAGCACAAGGAAAAACTGAAAAAGCAGAAACAAAAACTAAGGAACTTAAAGTAAAAGAAGAACCAAAAGCTACTGAGGATCCATTGGAATTTCAAGAACTTGAGAGACTTCTTCTAAATGAAGATGCTCCATTGGATGAGCTTGATGTGCAACATAAAGTTGCAGATATATTTTCAGATGAGGAATCTGATAGTGACAATGAAGGTAGATTTAAAATGAAAGAAAAACGTACAACCGTACCAGTTCTTTCATTTAGTAAATTAGTAAATGGAGTAAAACAAGAGATTAAAAGGGAGGCACTTCCTGATTCTTCTGGAACAAGGCGAGGAAGAGATAGAGATCGAGATAGAAGAAGAAGGTCTACACCAATAAAACAAAAACCATCAGAAACTAGACAAGATCATAAAAAAGAAAGAATTCAACCTACCTCTAGTGAACCTCAAACTAAAAGGCAGAAGATAACTTTCAAGAGCGATCCCATGCCCTCCATAGAAAATAGAGCAGATAATAAAATTGAGATAAAAATTAAGAATCCTTCAAAATATGAAAAAACTGAAAAAATTAAAAGCAAAGTGGAACCTGTTGTGGAAAAAAGCAAAATTATTCATATAAATGAAGATGATGACGATGATGATGTTGAGGCATTAATTGATGAAGAAGAGGAAATTATTTTGGAAAATGATAGTGGGGATGAAGAAAATGCTGTTCTAACAGAAGGTACATATACATTTTAATTTTATATATTTCAAGTTATATGCTTGGTTTATAATTTGTAAATGCTGGTTTAGCTTTTATAGGGATAATGAACCTATAAAAATGAAAACTCTTGGTGTAATTTGGGAGGCATTCTGATGTGAATACTACTGAATATTTTGAATTCTTATTCATTGAGATTCACAAACTTCATTACATAATCTTACTTATTATATTTGTTGAATCCTGCATCAATGAGAAATGCCCTATTTCATGCCGAACATGCTTAAAATCTTTAAAAAAAAAATTACTGTAACAGCAGCCATAAATGTGTTAAATTTTTGCATCATTACGTCATTCTTACTACAAACCCAAATCATTATCTATTGCTTCTTTTTTTGTGAATGGAGCTTCATGCTAAAGGTCACTGAGCATTTGTAGTTGTACTCCCTGGACCCTGTTGTGTGTACGAGTAGGTTTGTTTCACATCACCATTTAAGAATGAATACTCCTGAGAATTAACTTGAAATTAAGCATTAGATAAAATCATACCATTATCTTAAGGTTAAAATATTGTTTCAGGTGACCTTCGTACTCAATTAAGCAGGAAAAGAGCTGAAAAACTTTATAAAATACCAGCAGAAGAAGTTTCAACAAGAATTCTAAAATTTGCTTTGCAAGGAGCAGTTTTTAAGAAATCAAAGAAAAAGTCCAAAAAGAAAAGTAGTAGTGGTATGTATTTTATTGTTATTTTTTTGAATGCTGTCAATGGGCATGCTTACTTTCACTTTTGATGAATCTAAGGATAAGAACTTTGTAAGAACAAAAAAAACTTTTTTCAAAAAATGTAAACACTATATGAGACAAAACTTACTTTGTTGTCCATCTGGCAAAAGATGACTTTTATCGGTTGCTAATAATATTATTTAAGATATAAAATAGGCTATTTTTAACTGCAAAAATATATTTTTTTATCTTTTTTTCACCTTGAAAGAGGAGACTTCATATCAATGATTTTATGTTGTACAATAGTTTGGACTTCACCAGTTACATATTTGTTGTTAAAACAGCAACGTATATAACGTCTCAATGTCTATAATGTTCCTATCTTCCTAAAGAAGTGTATGATTTGGAATGTCTTGAAGCTGGGCAGATCATCCTATTCTAGTTGGTATTCTCCCAAATATAGTGTTTGTGGATTTTGTAGTGCTACACATTCAGTCAGGGATCTTTCGTCCACATCCTTCTTATCACTTACTGTCTTCTATTAGTCCAAGTTTACTAAGGTGTCCTTTAAGCAAGCAATGACTCTTAGAGATACCCTCTACTAGACACTGTTCTTGTTGAAGCAGATATAGACTTTAAATCTTTTCTGGTTGTACTAATCCAGAAGTATTGGCTAATCTTAGCCTCAAGAGATTGTTCCAATTGTCAGTTCTTCTGCTGTCCAATTCTTTTTAATCTCTCCTATTATTAAAAAAAGGAAAATAATTCCAACTCAAATGTAGCCAACATATAAAATAAATGAAATAAAACAAAGCCGTATGTCACACATAACATGAGTGACTGTTTCACTTTGGAAAACAACTACACTGCAAAATGTATTAAATTATATCCAAAGGAAAGACAGCAGATAATATGAATTTAATTTCAACACTACCTTTGATTTTGCCTACTAAGGAGAACATCATTCTTGGACCAGTTTGGTCTTTATTAGGACTCATCAGTAAGAAATAGTTAGGTTCTAAATTTAAATGAAACTTTAATTAAGGTACTTTTGAATGAAAATAAAAAAAAATGAGTTATGACTTGTAAGGAGTTTTCTCGCTACAGAGAAAACGGTTCCTTACGAATGGCGCTGGTTACGGGTGGTTCCCGAGCGCCAGATTTTTGGTTGGTTATGGTTTACTCCACAAACTCTCGAAACGGCGTCGAAAGTACTCTGGTAGCTACAGATGGAGATGTAAAATTCCAGTGGTCAAAGGTCACTTAGACACAGGTAATAGTAGGCCACAAGTAACGGGCTTTAATCGTTGCTTGGGCTGGTACAGAATTTATCACTAGCTGAAATATAAGGGGGAATTAAAGAAAGGAATTAATAACCAGTAATACGGCAAGTTAACATTGACACATATATTGTTTTAAACTATTTACAACAAAAAAAAATAAATTAATGTATTTCAATGCCCACCCTCACGGTAATATGTACAAACCCTGAACAAAAATAAACAAACAAGACGGCCGGAAATGACTTCCGAATAGCCTCAATCAGACGTAAAGAAAAAAATGAAATCATTAATTGTAGTAATCACGGTCACAGCAAAAGTTTATTATTGAACTGTCTATTCGGTTGTTGAGCTGAAAATGTAACTTGCTATTTCGTTCGGAAGTATTAATTCGGTCGTAGCAAAAATTAACTGTTAAATTGTCTAATCGGTATTTACAATCAAATGTAATTGAATGTTTCGGCAAAGCATAATATATGCGGTTGCAGAGAATGCGTGGAGACAGGTTCGGGACAATATTAATTCCAGGGCTGAAATCGGGACTCTATAAGAAGTTTACTCAAACTACTAGTGGTTGGAAAGTAAAACCAACTAACAACCGGGATAGTACATTATCTCTGAATGAAGTGATCGTAATCACGAGCCGCTTCAGACAGGGGAATGATACTATTTCAGTTCTCTTGAAATAACGGAGACTTACGCAAATGAATGTTCAGATGTAAAATAAACTAATAACCGGGATAACACCTTATCTCTGAATGAAGTGATCGTAATCACGAGCCGCTTCAGACAGGGGAATGATGCTATTTAAATTCTCTTAAAAGTTGCGGTTCGTAGGCTAAAACAAAAGAAAGTGTCTCGTCGCAATTCTATTAAGATAACCAATCAAAACATTAGACAATTCCCAAACAGTTCCGACCAATTATTTATTGGTTAAAGCTTTTAATAAACTAAAATGAAATTTACGATTTGTCCACGGAAATTTACAGTAGTAGGAAAAATTAACTATACGACTATAATTACGATCGAATGAAAAATAAATTCTTAAACAGTTAAAACCTTAAATAAACTAAAATGAAATTTATGATTTGTCCACGGAAATTTACAGTACTAGGAAAAATTAACTATACGACTATATTTACGATCGAATGAAAAATAAATTATTTAACAGGTTAAAACCTTAAATAAACTAAAATGAAATTTATGATTTGTTCACGGAAATTTTCAGTAGTAGGAAAAATTAACTATACATGAGACTATATTTACGATCGAATGAAAAATAAATTATTTAACAGTTATAACGTTAAATAAACTAAAATGAAATTACAAAAGAACGGTGTATTCTAACAAGAATAAATTAAAGTATTTCTTAATCAAAACAAATTTCAATTCTTAACTCAACACGAAATATTGTTAATTAAAAATAAATCAAATTAAATCGGTTTCCAATAGCACGGCTTAAATTCTCGAGCAAGAGAAAAAAAAATTATAAAAACAATGACAACAATTTACCTATCGTCAAGATCGCGGCTAGAAATTAATTTCGGTTTTGATTGTATCGGAATCGTATCGGAGTAATCTAATTATTTGCCTATTCAATATCACGGTGTAAACGCAAGTCAACTGTTCGATAAATCGGTGTATTAGGAACTAAAATCGATGCTTTTGAACAGCGACAAAACTGATGGTATACAGGGCATATCCACGAAGTTAAAATTAAGTAAAAATCGAAATTAATACCCGGAATTAGTTAAAAAAAAAAATAATGAAAATTGACTTCATTACAGACTATGAAATGTTGACTAATATCGAAAAACGTTTAAAAATTTTTTTTGCAGTATACAGGTAATTGAAATCAATACGATTTTCGTATTAAACTGTAAAATAACCTGTAGAATGCCATACTATTTGGTATTGTTATAATGGGAAAATCGAGGGAAATTCAAATGTAAAATAAGGGTTGTCCCATCTAAAAAAATCCTAACTTTGATATGTATCACTTTCCTGGACAACCCTGTGTAATTAAAATTATTTTTAATTTGTTGCCCTTTCTGATATACATTTCGCTGTGAAAACAGGTTTTATGTCTCAGTGGTTTGACCTATCAGATTCAAAGAAAATAATTGATAGATTTTTCAAAAATCACTTTTCATGCATTTTCTGTTACTGCTACTTCTGGTGTAGGGATTTTGGCCATGTGACCGGATAATTACGTTTTCAACGATATTTGGGATTTATCTTAAACATGTGTTTTCTGTACTAACATTCAATTTATCCTATTTCAAGCTTTTCTGTTTTTTTTTCCAATAATAAGGTACTATGTTCCTACTAGTTAGTTCGAATAGGCTATGAAAACATCTAAAACCCCCTTAGTAACTAGAGAATAAGTAGTTACAATTACAATTTGGAAGACCTTAAAGAGATAATTCAAACGTAAATTCAACAAATTACAGCAGATATATTGACAAACGTAACCCAAGAATTTATTAGCTGTCATTTCTTCATCCCGACGCGTTTTTCTTTTAAATAGGAACGGCTGGGGTAATTCGTCCAGATAAAACGTTCCATATTTAGGAACGCTTTTTAGAATTTAGACAACGTCCGGACGCATTTATCCTACATTTCTGAACGCACCCTAGCTCTAGACTTCCTGTCGCAGGTACAGTAATAAACAAAGGACAGGGTTGGCTTGCGCGACAAACATATAACGTGGGCTTACTGTGAAAAACTACCAAGTCAAATTTTATGTAATTAGAGTTAATGGGGACACTTGTTAAAGTGAGATCTACAAAAAAAATTACCATGTCATATTTATACTGCATGAAAGTGCTAAATAAACTCAGTCGATATGACTTGGTAATTTTTTTTTATGGACCTGACTCAAATCACATAAAATTCGACTTTGTCACTTTTTTGAGTAAGCCCACGATATGTCTAATTCAGTGACAAAATGGTTTGTTTTTGTAAAAAGTTTGGATAAAAGTTAACTGTTATTGAAATCAAAGTTACATCTCACTAATACGGAGTAAAAACTATGCATTTGTTTTGTAAATTTCATAAATTGTCCAGAAAAATTAAATTTATTATATTTTTTATAGAAGCAAAACTTCCGATTCATCTGCGACTGGGATTAAATAGTACCAAGGACATCTTTGAAGATGTAAAAGTGAAGAAGAAAAGCAAAAAAAGGAAAGCCCGTGAAGTATTGGAGCAGGTATATTTTCTTTTGTTGCGTGATATCTTATAGTCAAGTAATGTAAAGTATTAATTTAGTTAATTCATTAATATATTGCATTTTCAACTCTTACCAGTGTTGTAAATAGAGTTAACAAACTCGTTCGATATTTTAGATGTAGTTACATAGGAAACCAAAGACTATGGCCTTGTATATTTTTGTAAGTTTTTTACAAATTCTATCTGTGATAAAATGGTATTTTAATATTTTATTTATAAGTTATTAATTTGAACTTTCTACAGGATATTACAGAAAATGAGGCGTTGTACGGCTTTTCTAATAATAGATTAGCTGTACCACTAATTTATACCTTGAAATACATCATTATCAGCTGGTTTCACGAATGTTCGTTAAAATTTAGTAGCATGATAAATTTTGACAGATGTTTAAACTGTGAATAATTTGAAATTCAATGCAGACAATTCACTCAAAATTTATCTGACTCATAAATTGTAATGGGTGTTCTTGCAACCAGTTGTATGAATGATTAAATCTCTGGCCAAATTTTATGTTTTTGTATAAACTTCAATACAAAATATATTTATTTCAAGGCAAAGCTTAAATGTGATCCGAGTATTCAAGTTCAATGATACTTACAGATACAAAAAGGTTTGATATTGATATGTGATTTAAGAGTCCCAAATAATGTGTTTTAAAGTTGAAAAATAAACAATAATGGTAAATAATAAATCGAAAGTATGCCAAAAAAAGTATATTGGTATAGTGACAGTAAAAGATTTATCTTTGGGACTGAAGTAAGTTGTTTAGATAAGTAATAAATTATGTATTAAAAAAAAAACTACTAAAAATTCATTTGGGTCACAGGCAATATTTACTGGAAGTATCGAATTTTTATTTCCAAATTTGATGTACAAAAAATTATAAAATTATTGTATAAATTTCATCTCTGGCCCCATATTATGTAGAGCTGGTTTCTTTGACTGATCCTTAATTTTGACGTTATTGCAACATTGCCGACATTTACACTTCGTCACACAATTTTAAACTTTTTGTAATAATAAATATAATGGGTTTATAAGAGACAGATTAAACCTGCAACCCTTTATCATTCTTTAAAAAGAAAAAAACTTTAATAGTCTTTGAGTCCAAATTTAATTCAAGATAGACATGTTAGTATAATATAGAAACAGTTTTAACTAAAATTAAATTCTCAAAATAAAAAAAAAAAACAAAATTATCTTAAATAAATAACCATGCATATAAACAAAATTTACTAAAATTCAATTATTCAATATTTAAGCTAAACCCGTGCTTTCTAGGTTTATTGGTTGCGGAAATACAGTCGCTCAAAAATGAGCAATTTTTTCCAAAAGTGAAAATTTATCTGTAAACTCATTTTACAATACACGTACTGGCTAAACTAATGGTTCTAGAGAAAAGTCATGACAAAAGAATTTGTAGCAAATTGAATTAGCTTCAGTTTGATTCTAAAATGGTGCCTCCAGAACTCATATTTTCCTCAAAAATTAAAAAAATAGTAAAACATCTAATTTTTGTTAAATGATGAAAACATTGTACTGAATAATGTGGGTATGTATTTCTTAAAAAAAAACGTACAAGAATGTGAATTTAACATTTTAGATGTAACATATTGCTTTAAACAAACATACCCTAAACATATGTAAACATAAATGTAAATTATAAAATACTATTAAACAGTCGAGCACAAACACTAGAAGTTCAGAACGTCGCGCTTTTGGAAGAGCTGGGTTTCATCCAGTCTAGATCAGTGCGACAGAGAAGGAGAGGAGGGACGATATTTTCTGGAGGTGGAGGCGGGTCGTCATATGGTGTTGGGTCATCCACATCCTCGTCCTCCTCATCTAGGACAATAGGGGCGACATTCTTACAACTTCGCCCTTGGTAAAAGGAACATAGGATAGTGCACTTGAGCTCTTCCTTTCTGAAGGTGCACGACCTTAAGTACCCTTTCTTGTAAGCCACCATTCTAAGCAGGATCTTAGGAGCGGGCTCCTCACACATTGTAACGGGCATGAGACCTTGTTCACTGGTGGCCCATCCCCAGTTGCAAGGGTTTTAATCGATCCCCAACTATTTTTGGACCTCATGGTAGGTCCTCCAAGATTTATACAGGGTGTCTCATTAAGAATGGGACACAGAACAACTGAAGATTATCTGATTAAAAATAAGACGATTAAACGAAACATGTTTGGTTAAAATATATCTGTTTTACAAAATACAGAGTGTTAAAGCTGATAATTTAAAAATTATTAATGGCCATAATTTTTTTATTTCTTTGTATAATTTTACTAAATTATGTAAATATTTTAGGTGTCATAAGATACACCTATCAGCAAAACAATCAGTCAAATAAACTTTGCCAGTGGCGTACGACATGAATAAGTAACACCTTTATTCCCTCTAAATTTTATGCCACCTGTGGATTATGTATGTACGTACGTACGTTTATTTGAAGCATTTGAAGTCATATTTTACATTTAAAACGTTGTTTATTTTATGTTTACGATTACTTATTTAGTGTATGTTTATTTGTACGTTTTTTTAAAAAATTACATGCCAATATTTAGTACAATGTTCTCATCATTTTACCAAAATCCGACGTTTTACTATTTTTTCGTTTTTTGAGGAAACTATGAGGTCTACAGGCACCATTTTGGAATCCAATTGAAGCTAATTCAATTTTCTATAAATTATTCTATCATGATTTGTTCTTAGGAGCATTAGTATCTTGAAAAACGATGCTACTGATAAATTTTCACTTTTTGGAAAATATTGCCCAATACTCTATTCTCGATTAAAAAAATATAATGACAAGGCTGATCATTTCTTAACGAGTAGGAACTTATAATTATAATAAAATAATTACATAAAATTTGGCCAGGTTTTATTAATTCAGCTCGTGTGCATGTGAAAGCGGATATATTTTTTTATTAGTAACGATTCCTTTTTCATCATTTAATGCTTATTTACAAGTATACAGCTTTTGACAAATCGCGAGTTTCTTGTTATGTCCTAGCATTAAGACTGAGTTGTATCAAGGTGTTTTCAATATTTGTCACTTGGAACCAGGTTTGGTTGCTGTGCTTTAGTTCATGAAATCACTCCTCCCTTAGCAACTGCACTAAGTTCAATTAAACAAGACACGAACTAGTTTTATATGATTCAGCTTAACAAGTAGTGGTAAATTGAAGGGTTATTCTTTATTGGTGAAAGTAACTTTTTCTGCATACCTATGTAGACAAAAAAATTTTAACATGAAGTAAAACGATATGCATGTTTACTAATTAAATATATTACAAATTCAGCATTGTGAGGACAATTTTATAGGTTTCGTATTATATTATACAGGGTGGGGAAAAAGTTATACATCATTATATTTTTCTTATTGTTGATTTAAGTAAAAATGTTTAAGACAATCATTTCTTCATATGCAAATGATCTTGAAAGTTACTTAACGTCATTTTGCACAGGTGTAATGATCAGCAAGTTTAATTTTTCAAATAGATATATATTTTTTTAAATTTATGAAATCTGTAACATTTCTGCGTCTGTTGGTATGTGGTTTTCGATAGATTAAAAACATTTTCGATAAAAATTGATTTGGGGTTCAAGGAGCTAATTATAAATCAGTTATATTCAGAGTCTGGATAAATTCAAAAAAATAGTTTATCAAAAAATTAGTTTTAAGTGGTTGTAGATGGATTTGAATAAGAGGAAAAATAGAGCAACCTGCACACTGGATTTTTTTAGTGGGAACACACCAAAAGTATTTTTTTTGTATTTATTAGCAATCAAAACAAACATAGTGCTATAAGATAGCTAATTTGCTTGCTTGAAAGCAGAATTATGCTCTTATTATTTGTTCTCTTCAACCATTTGTTAAGTCAGCAGGCCAGTTTATTTTCAGTTGTCTTGCATTTTAGGGTTCTAGTGGATGGAGTAGTGTATTTACGAAAGAGTATCATTCATTCAAGTCTTAGTGAGGTTATAAGTTGAGTTTGTCAGTGGAATCAATAAAAAAGAAGATTTTTCGTATATCGTAAAGGATATTTTTGCATATAGTGTGTCAAAAAAGTCTGCACCTCATAGATAAAAAAAAATTGTTCATTTCTTAGAAAATTTTATTCCTGATAAAAGTTAGTACATGAACTAAACTTCATACTTATTCAAAAAAATTAAACCATATACAAGGAAGGTAAAAAATATGAATTTAGCTCAAGAGTAAAGAACCTTTATTTTTGAAAACAGAAAAAATGTTGCTTGAAAAACTTGTCTATAAACATTATTTATTAGCACATATGAAAAAATACAACCACTATTCAGAAAATTATAGTTGGATTCTAACAAAAATGTTTACTCACATGACTCACATGAGGTTTGTACATGGTTTTAGGTCATGTACTAACTTTTTGAAGAATAACATTTTCTGAGAAATGAACAATCAAAAAATGTCTTATTCATTTTACTGATAAACTAAACTAACTAGGATTTGATTGCACGAAAGATGCTCTTTTACTTGCAGTCACGCCTGGCCTTTTATTGTTAGACCCGTCGGATGTGTCAGGCTTTTAAACAAGTCTGGGTTCTTCACTCTTTATCAAAATTAATATTTTTTTTACCTCCCTCGAATATGGTGCAACTTTTTTAATATGTATCAAGTTTGTAGTGGGTTTTAAGTCTTGCACTAACTTTTATCAAGAATAAAATTTTTTGAGAAATTACCAATAAACAAGTTTTCTATAAAGTTCACACATTTTTTTAATACCTTGAAAGCGCCTGGCACACGTAATCCCCCCGAAAAGTGTCAGGCAATTGTTGATTGGAGATTATAATATCCAGTTGAATATACTAAAAAATCGGTTTACATACAAGAACATTTTTATCCGACGTTTTATCTACCAAACCCATTCGTATTCAAGATTCATAATATCCAAACGTTATTATCTACTATAATGTGCACACATATAAAAAATCTTAACCTTCATACTCTAATAAAAGTGACCATATTTTGAAAAGTAGAAAGCGTGACAAATCGAAAACATGGAGATTTGCAGTAGTGACGGTTCATTGAAGAGCAAAAAAAAACTTCACCAGAAAAGCTTAAAAGCGGGATAAAATCGTTTTTATTCCGACAAAAGCAGGAAAAAATTGTTTTAATTGGACAAAATCGGGACACATGTTAAATCGGCGCATGGTTTAAAATTGAGACTGTTCCGTCTAAATCGGGACGGATGGTCACTTTTACTATAATAACGTAGGTCTGGAGGTCGCTGGCTATTAGTCTAGTACTTCTACTGTTCATATTCCTCATTACTCAAATGTTTTATACGTTTTTTTTGTGCATTTCTAGCCATTTCATATTTGTGTAGGACTTTGATCTTTTCTTAATGTGAAAGTCACTTGACTAATTTTGTCCCATTTATTTTTATTCTTCATTTGAGTAATCATGTTTGGATATCATTCAAGTGTCTTTGTAACATCGCAGACGTTATAATTTGATTTTGATTTACAAGTATGATTGTATCATTGGCAAATGTTCCTATTACTGTTTCATTATTGGTAGAGCCGCTGTATACAATACATGCAGTAAAGGTCCAAGAGCACTACTTTGTGGAATACTTAATTTTATTGGGAAATTGTTGGACATACTTTCATTCACTTTTGTTTGGAATTCTCTGTCATCTTAACAGTTTAAAGTAAGTTACGGGAAGATGTTTTTTTATTTTGTAATTTAAGCCCACAAAGATGATCCTAATAATTTAGAATATTTGAAAGCCAGAATCAAGGCTGAAAAGTGAGAAGAATAATACCGAATATGTGAATGGTAGAAAACACTTTCCAGATAGGTTAGGTTATTGTTTAACAGATGTGAAATTTTTGTTTATAAACTGCATAAAACTGCATAATATATAAGTTTTATTATCTAATTAATTTATTGAACTCAATATTAATTTTTGTTCGACACTTTTAGAAATTTATTTCCATCGGAATCAGAAAATTTAAATAGTTTAAAGAATTGGAAAAAAAATACACAGCTATTTGAAAAATTTAACTTGCATATAACTGTGCAAAATGACGAGTGATTTTTAAGGAACTCATACATACTAACATTTTTTGTCTTAAACATTTTTGTCTAAAATTTACGATAATAAATATATTGCATTACTTTTTACGTGCCCTGTACAATTAATTACTGGGTGTTTGCACATTCTTATTTCAAATCTTTCATTAAACATTTCAAAATATTCTCAATAATTTTTTTTAAGTCTAGTTTTTTATAAATTAGATTATTTTAATTTCTTTTCATAATTAAACTATCAGAGATAGTTTTTCTTCAATTTTTCTCATTTCAACATGACTAGAATTTTCTTCTTTATATGGTCTCCTGTAATTTTGCCTTTTAGATAAATCTAGGCATTTATCTTTTATTTTTCCCTGGACTATTCATACTTTGCATGTTTTATGATTTCAAAAAAGGTTTGTTGCTATTTGTGATAAATTATTTTAATCCAAGTTTCAATTTTGACTTGTTTTACATCTTATTCTTAATTACTCCATTGTGACCACTATTTTTATTTCCTGCGATATGATAATGTATACATTTTTTTATGAGTTGTTTGTGTTTTATACAATACATATATTTTTAAATTTTTTATTAAATTTTAACACCCTTTTATCTTATATTATTTCTACAATTTTATAAGTATATAAAATGTTTGAAACTACCAATTATTTTATTTTCTGTTAAATGTGATAATCTTGAAAATGATAGCTTTAATCTACTACTGTGATTTTTATGAAATATTTATCAGCTGTGATTTTTATTTTTGAATATTTTCTAGTTTATATTTATTTTCGTTAATTATAATGATATTAAATTTGAAACTATCTAAACGCAATCCTAAATTAGATAATTACCAAATTAAACTAAATGTATGTTGAATATTGCCCTGATATCATTTTTTGGTAACTAATAGAACTATATTTTTATAGTCCGATGTTTTGATCTCACAAGATCCATTTATATTCTCTCCACAGGGTTTTTATAAAATCGTAATTTATGTATAATTAAATGATATGAATGAACTTGAAATAATTCTTATAATATATATGCAGATATGTATTTATGTAATATCATATATGTAAATATTTAAAAGTATTTCGATTGTCATTTGTAATGTACTACAAACTTTCGCGCTTGGCTAAAAGATAAAAAATAAACAACTTTATTTATACAGGATGTCCTTGAAAATAGTGTATAATCAACTGTAATAAGTGTAGAGAATTTTACAATAGCTGGCAACATTGCTAAAGATATTGTTGCTTAAATTTAAGTTGTAATAGTCATACATTAGAATAAGTAAATTAAAAAACAAAAAATATGCTTACATATATTTTATTGCATGTATTTAGAAAAAGTATAGCTTATATATCAAATACTTACAAATCTTAATACATTTTTTCAAAACCTCCAGCCTTTCTAGTCACATATTGTAGATTATTTGTGACATTGTCTGAGATAATTTTCAGTGAATATCCTTGAACGTCGAGGATCAGAATACTATCTCTACAATCACAAATATTGTAGGTTTGTAGAAGGAAAACAGAAAGAGATTTTTATTAAATAAGAATCTGTGGCTTGGTTGAAAAATGGTCAATGTTGAGAGTTCTATAATTTAAATAAAGATCATTTAAAATTTTTTAATCAGATTTTGACAATACACCTAGGCTATCTTTTTTTTATGACGCCTAATCAAATCCTTAATTATTTGCTAAATTTAGTAATTCTTAATTATATTCAATGAAAATAGTAGATTTTAAACTCAAAACAGTAGAACAGGAGTAAAGTGACAAAAACAGTGAATCTACTGTTAAAAGAGTAGAACTGACATCACTGGGCACTGCCGTAATGTGTGAATGGAATGTGGAAAGTGGTCGGCTGCGAACCCAATAATAGCCATACACGAACGGATTTCTTGGCGGGCCAGATCCGCTAAATGACCACAAATTCAATTTATTTATTTATTTATCGCGGGTGTAGCCTTTCATGCATGC